TGGAATAGTAGAAATGCAATATTCATCTCAGAGTGATTCTGATCGTTTACTGATTATAATACTTAGGTGAAATTATTATAATCTATATAGAATGTATGAATCGTGGTATCGTCGAAAGTAAAAAACCTACTCCTGGAACAACCACACTCATTAGTTGTACTGCTAGTGGAAATCCAATGCCAAAGATACTGTGGAAACGATGTCATAATGGCCAGTGCTCAGACATTCCATCAAGACGTATTAAGAATATTAAAGACACTAATGGAACTATTCACAGTACTTTGATAGTAGATCGAAATCAACCTGAACAGATTGGAAATATTTCATGTACATCGGTTAATCTTTGCCAACGTTCAGAATCACAATTCTTCATAGTTGAAGACGGTAAGATTTATTATTGACCATAATTGATGTTGCTTTACTAAGTTTAATTACTGGCAAGTATTCATCAGCTAAATATATACTCTATAAATTTCAATTCTAATTAATCTCAATTGTTAGAAGAGCCATCGATTAAGTAAAGCTAATAATTTTTCTCAATAAGTAGCTTTCAATAATTAATCTCTCTTTTTCTTTATTCTTATGTATTAATTAACAAGATAAGCCAGAAGTCTTAGTCATTACACTGAGTAATGTTGGAGGTCTAATTGTGATTGTAATCCTAGTTGTCATATTCGTACCTGATCCTCGCACTAAACTCTCATACTTTAAGAAAGTATTGATGCGAATGGAAATTAAAAGCGATCGTGGTAAGATTGTAATATGATAGTTATGTCTTGCAATCTTTGATAATTTTAAAGTGATTAAAATTAACATTATATTGTATTTACAAAATCTACAGTAATGATCTAGTAAGTCCTGTAGATGATATTAGAGTGGTTATAGACTGAGTTCAATCTAGAGACAAGTAATAAGTTAAATATTCATTTTTTACTTCAAATTTTTTAGTTATAGTTATTGATTTTTTATAAACTATTATATTTATGTTAATGTATACTATATTATACCTTTCTATTCATAACAAGCCATCGAAACCAAATAAATCCACGACT